TCCAAAAAATTATACCTATTTTTTATTATGTTTGTTTAGTTTTAACAAATAAGATTGAAAAATGATTATTTAGAGCTTCAATAGAAACATCACGACAATTTCAGAGACCACTCCCTCTATTGTAGTAAGTGTAAAAATTTACCTGGATGGCAAATTTCTCATGATCACTTCAAACGATTGGTCCGAAAATCTGTACCTACAGATAAATAATTTCTGCATTTATTATAAATTTATTGCTCTAAACAATAAAATAATTATTTCTGATAAGTATTTTATACCATAATATCTAAAATTTATGAATCTAACAGATAATAAATAACTTACTAATATTTTTTATGGAAGCATTATCCCCTGAAGTTATCAGAGTAGGTAATTAGAAATTACTAGAGTTTCTCTAGTTGTCTGTTTTATATGGTAAATTTGTTCAACTATTTAATTTACCATATAAAACAGACAGTATCTAAACTTTACTCTAACAAAAATTATTTAATATACCAAAAAATATCATATAGCACCAAAAACGTGTGAAATTTGCAAATTTATTAACTTGATTTTTTCTAGTCATAATGTGTGTATTATTAAGTTGTAATTAATTGAAAGATGTACTACATTTAAAACTACATTATAGTTTATTATTTTATTAGAGATTTATTTTACAGCAGTAGTATTAAATATGGAAATAAGGATACCAATGGTGTGCATATAATGTAGGCAACTAGGCGTTGCCTATCCCAAACTATATCATATTCTTTTTATACGATTACATTATAGCTCATTACTAATCCACAAATATTCACAATACGCATTTTTTATCTTATTTTTATTCTAGAGACTACCTAATATTTATTGAAATAATTTTTGACTACTGCGTTATCGCTCAATTCACATATAAAATTTTAATGTATACCATACAGGCGCACCATATGATTTACGCCAAGTCGGTTTGATTTACTTTATATTACTTTTTAGTATATTACCGTAGATTGAAAAAATAAGATGCGCAACCTTATGGGCGATTTCGTGGCACAAAATATGTCCGAGATGTAGCTGGCGTTACCGTCAACATATTCGAGATTTAGTTTAGCTCTGCGCCGCCGCGCCGTCCCTGCGCGCTGATAGTTTACAGCGCAGCGGATAAACAATACTGTACCTTAGTTCTGCTTTCAGTCGACAGAGTGGGTGGTTACCGAAGACAGTGTTGCCAGAACAACGGATTAATCCGTAGATTTACCTATTTTGTGTATATATTTTTTTATTTGTGTACATATAGATTTACCTATTTTATTATAATAATAAAGAAATATGATTAAACTTAATTTTAATCAAAATATGTAGGTACATTGCCTTTTGTTTCATCTATTCTTTTCCATGAAATCAAGATACTCCAGGACAGAAACGAGGATAGAAATATTTTGTTATATTTAGAATATATATTTTCGTTGTTTATTCTATGTTTAAAACGAATAAATTTTCAATACATAAACGCGGATTTTTTATCCAATGATATTTTTGTAAAAAGTATTACAGATATTACACTTTTTAATCTGGCAACACTGTCGCTTTCAGTTCCACACCGTCTTCGATATGCCTTCGCTGACCGAATTAGAGAAAATGAGTGCTTTATGCGTTGGCCGCAAAACGAGTGGCCACAGTACAGCACTTAAGTGGAAATCATATCAGCCTTCGCCCATTAGGTTGCGTATCTTCCCAAATCTTTCAATCAACGATATTACTTTTTTAAGAATCTTCCATGTACCCTCCAGACCACAAGTACTGGAAGGCAAATGTGTAAGAAAGAGATAAAATAAGGATGGAAAGCGTGATTTAATTTCATCGCCCGTAGTCCTTTGCAGTG